AGTTCAAACTAAAGGAAGCAAGTTCACATCATGATAGCCAAGTTTAGACACACATGACCAACACTGAAGAACTTCGTAAGAGCTACTTGTTTTATGTGTGTATATAAGCTCCCACATTTTGCTACAAGTTAGAAAAAAAAGATACTCCGTCCGATTCATAATAGTTTTGCTACAAGTTAGAAAAAAAAGATACTCCGTACTAAAGCAACGTCAATTATTATGGACCGGAGGGAGTAGTTAGTTTCTTTTTTTAGTTTGCAAGACATAAGATTATATAAAACCCCTTATTGTCGCTACTTTGTTTTTCTCTCCGAGCAAGAATACATAGATGGGAGAAAATATATCTGCGTATTATAGTTGAATTTATTTTCTGTCCCAAAAAGAATATGCATAAATGTAAAAAGAATATAGCTTACAATAATATGTGTGATCCTTGTTCCATCTACATAGTTAAGAGGAGAAACAATGAATACACCTATAAATTTGATCGCATAATAATTCTGCAGTGCAAGATAATCAAAGAGGATAATACACAGCTGAAAAGAATTACCTATAAATACATGAAAGTCGTGGATAAAATTGACAAACAATGAAACTTTTGTGCAGCTGCTGGTAATTTCAGAAAAGATCTACTTCACACCCCCCCCCTCCCGACCATTCGCTGACAATGCCTAACCTCCATCCCTAAAGATGCCTAATAATGACATGTGATATTTCCAGCCAACATCATGTGTCTAATATCATGGACGGTTCAAAAAACTAAAATTCGGCAAGAAACACACGGTTATCTTTTAGTCACCTTATATGAAAAGTGTCGTATATCATGGCTATCTATTGAAATTTCTTCCTCAATTCGTATATCATGACATAGTATAGCTCCAGCTACGAAAAGCAGTTAATTAACTGCCCAAGTAAATCAAAAAAGAAGTAGTTAAGCAAATCTTAGACTTTTGTTGAATGTTGGATCTTGGATGGCTAGATGTGTACTATTTCTTATGTTGCAGCCATAGAAGACCCTCCAACTGAACCGAATCCATGATAGACTGCTCACAAACACAGAATAACAAATTGTTTTTTTCTAATTAACTGCAGTTCATGGTTGAAGCTATGTTATGGCTTACTGTGTTGTTTAACGAGCCCAGCCTTTGTACATATTCCTTCAATATGAATGGTTGGAAGAACATACAACGGAGCAAGAATTGTTGTATTCCTAAGGTTGGTTTCAGTTTGATTGAGCCATGAAACATCAACCTTTTTATTTGATTCTACATCAAATAAGAAATATTTGAACTCATGTGCTGCACAATAGGCAAAAGACTTCCTAGAAATCCAAACAGAGTGGAAGAAAAATAGACCAATCCTTCGTTCCCAATAAAGAACTGTACTCTGCAGGTAATTAAGCTATAAGTTAATTGCTTCAGGATTCAATAAGCGACATGGGGGGTGAAATTACCCGTGTTGTACCTTGTGGAGATGTACAGAATACTATGAACACGAATCAAACGATGGACGGCCAATTGTCATCAGCGTGATGTGGCTTTGTGCTTCTGAAGACGGGCCACAACTCTGAAGATTGGAGAAAAGGAATCAGAAGGGGGGTGGCCTCCATGCAGTTCCGGTGACGGCGTGCTTGCAGTTGCAAGCTGTAGACTGAAGGTACCTTAGAGGTTACCATGGCCGTGACGAACGTCACTCGGCTGACTCCGATCTGCCCCTCCGACCCCGCCGCGGCAATTGACGGCTTGCTCCTCCCTCCAAGAACCCCATGTACCAGCTCCCCGCCTCGACATGCGTTTGTTACCCCATCCTCAACTACGACAGAGGACAGAGTTGGCTGCTTGTGGCCACCACCGATTTTGGGGTTCGAGGACGACCAGATCCGGTAGGATTGCCCGGCGCTGAGGGCGGGGAGCATGAGTCCAGTACGACATCATAAGGGGGAGGAGTGCGACTCCAACATGGCGATGTCTGCTGGGAAGCACGACCAGATCGAGGAAAGGCTCCGCACAGTGTAGGGATGATGGTCGTCTAGCCAAGTCGCCGTATGCAAGTCTCGCGGATCGCCAGTCTTGGTTCCCACCGATGGCTCCGATGAGAGGTAAGTGGAGCTGGGCCATGGGCCTCGGTGAGGGCGCCGTTGTGGGGTTGCCGAGTTCCCTGACCGCCGTGGAAGCTGTCTCCAAGCAAGGGGATAGAGGGCGGAGGGGGAGCAGGGGCGGTAGGTGCTCGTCGCCTTTGCCAAGTTGAGCGATGAAGGAGAGAAGGCCGGTGGCGGCGATTTCTCTCGCGAGAGGATTGGGGACGAGGGATTGTGGGGTTAGTGGGAGATGAGGTGTGCAGTCGTGGGCTGTTTCCTTTCTTTTTCTTTTTTTTACCGAGCGGCGAGGCGATTTCTGGAAGAAGAAAAATTGCGTGTGCGATGGGAGGGGGATCGAACCAGGTCGAACCATCACGACGTTCGATCCCCCTTTAATAGTAGAGATCCCTTTAATAGTAGAGATTAGGAGAAAAAAAATATACAACTCTATTTTTTTAAAAAAAGAGGAAAGGACACGGAACGAAGACCCTCCAAACGACGTTGCTGAAAAACAAAGTGGGTAAAAAACTCCCAAACCGCTGTTGGGTTGGTCTCTGCGCTGGCTGCCCTCGCCATGGAGGACGATGGCCATCCCGACCCCTACCTTGATCTCCCCCTTGAAATCGCCGAGGAGCGGCGGCGCGCTGCTAGACTCGCTGATGAGTGCCGCCGCCAGCACCGCGAAACCGCTACTTGTCTGCTCTCGCTGCCGGCTCCCGTTGCCATGGACGGCGATGCTCATCTCGTCTCGCTCCTGGATCTTCACCCTGAACTCGCCGAGGAGCGGCGGCGCCCCGAACCGTCCTCTTTCCATAAAACTGAGTGAGCTTTCGCCCTTTCTGCATGCCCATCTCTTACCCTCCTCACATGCTTACTTCCCATCATAAAAGGAATTCTTTGCTCCCACCCCCACCCAAATTAAAAATGCAACTTTGATGGCAATTGCGTGTAGAACCACAGCTTCCATCCGTTTTTGTTCAGAGGGATGGAACAAGCTCAAACGATATGCTTGTTATTGAAACCTCCTTCAGATCATTGCTAGTACTAGTACTATAGGATTAATTAAATACTGATCTGCCCTATATGGATCCAGATACTATTTGTACCTGCATCCAAACTCACACCTCGAGACATGCATGCGAGGTATACACTATACTACCTCCATTCTAATGAATGTCACGTGCACACATTTCAAAATTGAACTTTGACCATAAATTAGATCAATACCTATTTTTTATGGTTAAAGTTGAATTTTGGAATGTGTGTGGGTTATATTCGTTGGAATGGAGGGAGTAAATTAACAACGCATAAGTATGCGAGGTTTTATGGAGAGAGGGAGTCTTAATGATAGATCTACCTAGAAATTCCTGGTTTACTGAACAAGCATGTTTTTGCTAGAAGTGTCTTAGACTGTATAGGTTTGATAATTTATGCTTTAATTGATAATTTATGATGATCTGAGTAATTCCTTTTTTCTTGTGGGGTATGCAATCCTGTGTGAGAATGGGAGCCATATGGTGGATTGTTCTTAATTAAGTTCATGCTGATCTGTAGGACATACATCCTCCACAGTGAAAGTATCACCTCCCAAGCTTTTGCTTTTAGCAGATAGCTGCTCTGCCAACTGAATTTGATCCGAGCCTATCAACCGGATCAAGTGCTTAATTACAAATGAATTCCCAACTTCCACTGATCCTGCATTCCTGCATCGATCATGACGCCACAAATAACACCCGATAAAGATTCTCATGGAAAAAATTCACCTCATCCCTATTTGTATAATCCAGGAGCTCTGTATTCACCTCTGCTTCTCAAAAGTTTTTTCTAAATGTGAGATAAGCTGATCCTCTGGCCAGACATGCTGCACTGAGGCATCCTGTGTAAAACAGGGACTCTACTTCCTTAAGATCTTCCTAGATACTCGTATTGGCTTCTAACACTAACGCCACAACCACCGCATCGATGGACAATCATCTACGGAGACATCATTCCAAAATAAAATAAAATCCTGAGCATCATTGGTTGTCGGAATTATTCTGACCACACCATAGTTCAACCTATGCAAGTCAAATTCTTCTGTGTGGAGTGGGTCTAGCATCTATTCAATAATGGCTTAAGCTGGTCGGTGGCATGTTTATAGAAACATCAGGCCGACCTGAACGACCTCTCAACATTTGTTTCTTGATTTTTCTGTTTCTTAATCTCCAGCTCTATCTTGTTGTTTTCTTTGCAAGCCTTAAAGGTATTAACATAAGAAAGAAGCCACAAAGCACATAAGTAACTGCATATATGGATCGACTAACCAAAACTGGAAATGGACCAGCATGTCAACACACACCAAAATGCAAACGTTGTGGATTGAACTGTTGCTGTTCGGTCAACTGCTATCACTATGTAGTTAATTAAATACGGAGTATAAACCTATAGACGCACAAAATAATGCTCTAGGTTGTAACTTGTGATACCACCCACAGGGCCACAACATCTGGCCTTTCATTTAAAGCAATCAAGGGCTGTTTTGCTTTGCAGATATATCTTCACGACTTCACTTGCTCAATACTAAGTAACAACGATTCATTACGCATTGCATAACATTGTGTATTTCGAAATCCTTGTCTTGCTTTGTTTCTGTGTATGTCTGTCTTGTTTCTGTGTATAATGCCTTGAGCGGGAAGGAAGTCCCGTCTTGTTTCTGTGTATGTCTGTCTATTCCATCAGAATTTCAATATATATGTGTTTTGGCTGTTATTTACACTGACCTTCTGCCTTCTCACATAATAAACCTTGTCTTTAATTTCTGATACTTGCATATGTACTGACCAACAACATGTTCTGATCAGGATTGAGGAGCATGCTAGCGAGGTTAGCAACAGTGAAGGCTCTGTAACTATGGGTCTGTCAGAATTCACTGCCCTAGCGCTGAATGACATCTCTCCTATACTTCAGTCGACCTATTGGTATGATCATAACTATCTCTGTATTAACAGGGATATGATTTGTTGAAATGGATACTTATTATGACCCACAGTACTCTGTCTTACGTTTTGCACATCATTGGATATGTTTGATTCATCATCAACTTCATAAGTAGTTGAATGTTATTTACATAAAATTAAATGCCAGGAAGCTGAACATTATAATAACCATTAGTTGTGTGGATATTTATTGCTGTAGGTCCAATGTGTGTTATGATACTGGCAGCAGCGAGAGTGAGTCGGACACTGTGGTGGAGAAGCCTGAAGACGAATCAGATTTTGATTTGTACGCATGATTTTGCTGTTTGTTAATATATTTGAGCTGTATTTTTTGTTTGTAACTTTTAAGTCTTGGCTGCTTTAATATGGCAAGTGTTGGAATTGAACCACTCAACTCCCTCCTCTTCCTGAGATATGCTTCACCCACTCTCAAACACACACACACAGGACTAGTACAGTGAGGCTTGATGTCTTATACACACACAGCACTAGCACCTGAAGCTTAGCTGAGTCAGTCAGCCTCCCTCTCTCTGTTGGAGCTGAGTCACTACAGCCTCCCTCTCTCTGTTGGAGCTGAGTCACTCAGCTCCTCTATCTCTGTTGGAGCTGAATCACTCAGCTCCTCTGTGTGTGTGTTGTTTCTCACAACATGCACAAATACACAAGCTGTTTTTGGTGACTTGCTGCCCCACACAGTCAAAGCCTTTTCTCTTATTGATGCACTACATGCTTCTCTTTTGGTGCTGCCATTGCTGTTTTTGGTGACTTGCTGCCCCACACAGTCTAAGACTTCTTGACTTCCCACTGACTTCTAGCCTAAGACAAAGACTTACTCACTAGCTTACTCCCTAAGACTTGACTCATTGACTAACTGCAGCATGACTAACTACAACAAGGATTATAACTAACAGCATGAAGTCCCAAAGCACTAAAACTATACCTGTTTATACATGGATCAAATAGCCAAAAAGAAAAGAAGAGTAGCAGAGCTGCATGTCATTAGTAAAGTGCAGCACGACAAATGTGAGTGCTATGAATTGAACTATTCACATTCTAATGTATGGTTTAATTGCTATCACTATGTAGCTACTTAGACATTGACGCATAAAGCACAAAATAGTGCCGTAGGCTGTATCAGCACCTGCAAATAAGCAGACAAAAAGTATTTATGTTCATTTACAGTAATTTTTCTTTGTTTTGCCTCAGCGGAATACATTCACTAGTTCAGTAGCACATAGACTTATTTATTGCATTATGTAAACTGTATGGGCATAATTTTCTTCAGGGACAAGGAACTGCAAGAAATGGAGGATTACTTGAAAGAGAATACGTGCGACACTGTAAGCGAAGTGATGGATAAAATTTTCGGTGTAGGGTGTTCCAGTCTAGCTGCTAAGTACGACAATATGTCAGCTGCCGAGCGTGCCGATATGACCGCTCGACCTTCCTATTTTTGTAAGAGGCCTCCCGTAGGGTGGCCATCTTCTCCAGCTGATTCAGAAACCCAGTCCCTTCAGGCAACAGAACAAGCTTCGAGGAATGAACCATCGCGGCAGTATTTGCTACGTCGACAACCAAGGTAAACCATCTACCATCCTCTCTCTTGCAGGTATCTGGCATTGATTTACTTTTTCTCTAAGCAGTGTCATTGAAAATTTATGAATATGGATCTGAGTTTATATATTCCTTGGTTTATAACGAGGAACTGTATCTTGTATAGTCATGCAGATGGAAAATGAGGTTCTCTTTAAGAACTTTCACTTAGTTCCGAAACACAGGAACTGTAGATTCATAACACAAAAGCTGTTTTAAGTGGGTTATTGGAAGCTCAAACTGCGTGATCCTGGATCTGACTGGCAACTGGTCAACTGCCGAGGTTGCCTGTTGACCGTTGCTAGTAATTATCCCCTTGGCCCCTCATAATATGCAGGGTTATAAATTATCCTATCACCCTTGTATGCTACTACATGTTAATTAACGTCTTATTCTTGATAATAAACCGAACGGCCCCGTGTCGTCCGGACGGGCGACACGGGTGGCGATCTCATCTCTACTCAGCGCGTTTCTCATCTCCGATCTCTGCTCGCCGCCGTCGGAGGACACCCCTGGGAGAACCCCGTGGGGCTGACGACGGCGGCGGGCCTTTGCTGTCGTCCTCGGTTGGACGATCTGGCCGGCGGATGCTTGGGTGCCGGGGCGGCGGCCCCAGACCTGTTCATGACGGTGGCGACTCCTGCGGCTGCTTGGGCGGCACGACGGTCTGGCCTGGAGGAGCTGCTTCGGCTGCCCGGTTTGGTACTGTCCATGGCGCAAGGGCGCGGTGGATCTCGAAGATGGGCAGCACTTCTTCGATCTGCTCATTGGTGCTCGGCTGGGCGGTCCAATTGGCGGGGAGGCTGCAGCTGCGACGGTGGCCGGCGGGCACATATCTGGTTGGGAGTGGCTGGAACTAGCTCGCCGGTGTGGGTTCGGTGCTGCCTCATGTCCTCCGTATTGTGCGCTTGGCTGTGGCAGTTCCCCATGCCCAGATTCAGTCCGTCCAATCCAGGGGAGTTCTAAGTTAGTTGGTTCTGCTGTTCTTCGTGCTCCGAAGCTTTAATCTGCATGTCGACCTCTTCGATCTAGACACCGACGGGTTCTGGTCTTCCTATCAGAGATATCAACTTTTGACGCATGGCGCCACTGAATATCTAGATCGGAATTGATTCGGTCGGGCGCGCCCTCATCTTTAGCCAGAGAGGCTTCATGAGGGTGTGGCGTGAAGCTTCGTTGTCTTGCCGGTGCCATGGGACATGTCTAAGTATAGATTTCCACAGCGTTGAGGTGGTGAAGAAAGTCATGGTGGCTGTGATCGGAGAATTAATGGTGCGAGGAGTTTTGATTGCGTTGAAGAATGGCGACACAGGTTTTTTTTCCTGTGTGTCGGATGTTGAGGACTTGCAGCGGCGGCCTTGGAAGGGATGGGGCGTCAACATAGGTGGACAACAGTTTTGGGGGTGCTTCTCGAGTACCGAGCCGCGATCTCCAGGGTGAAAGCCCAAGGTCTTGCTTCATTGGTTGTACCTGGCAATGGTCTTGCGAAGGCATTGTTTTTGGAATCTCGGACTCTCTCCAGGGTGAAAACTCAAGATCCTTGATTGGGCGACGACAACGCTTATGCATTGTTTCCTTCTTGGAGGTGTCGCTTTTGAAGAGCCTCTTCTGTTGTTCAGGTGTTGTCTTTGGTGGTGGTTAGAGTGTTGCTGTTGCAAGTGTTTCATTACTGCGACGGGGTCTTTGTTTTCATATTTCTCTCTTTTTATTTTTGTTTTTGGCTGTGTGCATCCTTGATGTATTTTGATATCTTGTTGGTGCAGAGGCTGGGTGTAATTGGTATCTTCGCGATATTAATATATTCCCTTTATCAAAAAAAATTCTACATGTTACTACTATAGCATCTTTGTGTTTGCAGAAAGAAGTATCTATCATCTATGTTTCTTATTTAGCAAGATAGCAGAAGATATTGATAATATTCATGTATGTTTATTGGTTCCTCTACATGCACCATAGTTTTTTCCCCAATATTCATTATTTTAGATAATGAGAGGGATCACGGGCCATGACAGGCGCACAATTTCTGAGCAACCAGAGGTGTTCGCAACTTTGCACCACACATATATCTAGTTAATTTACTTTCCTTTCGATCTTATGTGCTTCTTAATATGTGTTGGGGCCAAAACCCAAAAGCTTATCAATCGTTGAACATGATGACATCATATTCTGGTTTCTACTTCTTCTACTACTTGAACAGAAAATGCAATTTTGTATTGGCCTATGCATACAGGTGTGAAGTTCCTGACGAAGAGATTATTCAAAATGGGAAAAAATGGATGACTAAGGAGGTGATGTTGGCATTCGAAAAATACGCTGAAAGAAATACTAATCTCAAGGTCTGGATATAACTTTTGAGTATTTTAATTGTTATAACCACAAGAAAGTGACCAGGAAAACAGTACTAATAAAGATTTATATTTCGTTTTAGGGTCTTGAGTGGCAGATTGAGGAACTCTGTCACCAATGCTTTAATGTGGAATACCATCACAAAGTTTTCCACCATTACAATTTCACTGTAAAGATTGAGAGCCCTAGGTCAAGTGATTCCAGAGTGGCATTGTTCTTCGCTGAAGTGAAAGAGATATTCGGAAGAAAATACTATTTCTGCTGCCCTCTAGAACCAAATGAAAGTGGTACTGATCCTCGTCTTCATGACCATATAGTGAATTAGCTATGAATGTTTGTAGAGTTCTATTAAGAGTTTGTTGGGTTAATTTGTTTCAGGTCAGTGTTATGCATGCCATAACCAAGGAGTTGATGATCTAAGGCATCCAGCTACAGGTGGATATGACCGGGGTTCTCTGGATATCGCATTCCCATTTATTTGTATGGATTAGTGAAAGTTGTTGAATCATATAGATTCAGAATTAGTTCGACTGGTTTGAATCTAGTAGTCTAGAGTCCATAATCCATATTCATCTATGAATCTTCCATTATGGGTTTGATACTGAGGTTCTGTGCTAATATTGTTTCTGCACTTGAGCACTTTTTATGCAAATATGTGTTCTCGTGAGTGAACATAAAATGAGGTTGTCATTGTGATGAGAAGAATTGGCAACTTTTCTAAACTATCAAGAAAGATTTTACCTATAATGTTCTCTTGATCTTTAGTAAACTTTAGTAGGTCACTTCGACTGGAACTAAACCTGATCAATTATAGGCACGTGATGCGACACCAATGGCTTACGCCCGAAGAAAGCACCCTGGGATAGTTCGCTCCCTAATAATCTTTATAAGTAAAATGCACTATAGGTCCTAAAAGTTTTTGAGGTATGCCAATTGAATCCTATAAAGTTTAGAAATGTACATCTGGAACTTAATTGTGATAAGTGGTTCACCATGGGTCTGACTGCATTTGACCACGTAGATGTCATTTGTGATCCTTTTTCCCCCTCTACTCATGGTTTGCTGCATGGCCGCTGGACTGGTTGCTGGCATCAGTGCGCCTGGAAGGAAAGAATAGTTTGAATACAACCAAAAACCAACAAAAACACATGTACAAGATTAATCGAGATCATTGTTCGCAACTCTAAGGAAGGCTAGGGCACGGGCCACCGTTGCCTTTTTTATGTGCCTACTACCACAGCAACAACACAATGCTTGTTGTCGAATGCCCTCCTATTTGTCTCACACTAGATATGCCAGAATGTGTAATTAGTGACGATGCCATCAATCACATGTCTGGAGGATGATCACCAGGGCCATGGATCTGGTGCCACCACTCAGGGAAGGAGGTTGTCTCTGTCACAGAAGGAGGTGAGACAGAGGGACGGTCTTGCCTAGTAGCAATAGCATGCCACACCTGGTGCGCGAAACTATACCTGAGTATGAGGTGATCAACCATCTGAAGTTGTTACCACACATCAAACACAATATGTTGCACGGTCATCCCCTTGCAGACAACCTGTCCGCATTATAAGGATCCGCCGCCTTACAAGCAACCACGAAAAAACTTGCATTTGTTCTCCACACTGGCCTTCCAAATTGCATCCGGAAAAATCTGGAGCGGCGACTAGGAGCCTTGGAATTGGATGTCATATGTAGAGCTCTTCGAATAGACATCGCCCACCGTCCAACGCCAAGTGATGGTGTGTCACGTCCAATATGCGATACTATCCTAAAAAGACTCGAAGGTCCCACCAAGAATAGAACCGCATATTGATACGCTTTTGCAAGGTGGATATCATTACATCAACATTACATAATAGATGGGGATACATACAAGAGGCATACAATGCCACACGAATACAACATCATCTTACATAAGAGCACCATCCGACTACAGATGAAACACAAACAGAAACTCGAACGACATCCACCCTGCTAGCCCAGGCTGCCGACCTGGAACCTATCCCCTAATCGAAGAAGAAGCAGAAGAAGAACTCCAAAACAAACAAGCATCGCTCTCGCGTCAAGATCATCATAACCTGTACCTGCAACTGCTGTTGTAGTAATCTGTGAGCCACGAGGACTCAACAATCCCATTACCATGGGTATCAAGACTAGCAAAGCTTACTGGGAAAGGAAGGGGTAAAGTGGTGAGGTTGCAGCAGCGACTAAACATATATGGTGGCTAACATACGCAAATAAGAGCGAGAAGAGAAGCAAAGGAACGGTCATGAAGCTAGCAATGATCAAGAGGTGATCCTGAACTCCTACTTACGTCAAACATAACCCAAAACCGTGTTCACTTCCCGGACTCCGCCGAGAAGAGACCATCACGGCTACACACGCGGTTGATGCATTTTAATTCGGATCTGGTGTCAAGTTATCTACAACCGGATATTAACAAATTCCCATCTGCCACATAATCGCGGGCACGGCTTTCGAAAGATAATACCCTGCAGGGGTGTCCCAACTTAGCCCATGATAAACTCTCGCGATCAACAAAGGATATACCTTCTCCCAGGAAGACCCGATCAGTCTCGGAATCCCGGTTTACAAGACATTTCGACAATGGTAAAACAAGACCAACAAAGCCACCCGATGCGCCGACAATCCCGATAGGAGCTGCACATATCTCGTTCTCAGGGCAACACCGGATGAGACATCCTACGAGTAAAACCAGACCTCGAGTTTCCCCGAGGGGGCCCCGCAGTCTACTCGGTTCGGACCAACACTTAGACAAGCATTGGCTCGGGGGTGCTAAAATAAAGATGACCCTCGGGTTAATTACTCCCAAGGGAAATGTAGGTGGTAGTGAGGCAAATGGTAAAACCAAGGTTGGGCCTTGCTGGAGGAGTTTTATTCAAAGCGAACTGTAAGTGCATCTAGTGCCCCTTAGTGATTTTGGTGTATTGAAGACTTATAGGTTAAGGGACTAATGCGTTTTGAGTGTACACAGGTCTATAAGTCTATGAGGAGTTTGATATTTATAGAGAAAGTCGACCCCTAAAAATGAAGTTCTTCGACTGAAGACTTTGATATTTTGAAGACTTTCTGAAGACTTTGAAAGTGAAGAAATTGGTGTGACCTTGAAGACTTGGTATTCATTTGAGGAACATGAAGCGTGAAGACTTTTGTTTTCGTAGTTTCATTTTCTCTTTCTTGAGTCATAGGAAACACCGTACTGTTAAAGGGGGTCGAGGAAATACTAAGGAAAAATTTCCATGTGATGCTCAACTCAAAATCCTACACCTACCAATCCCTTCGAGTGAAGCCTTTGGAAATCTCATACAGTTCAGTCACTTTCTTCAGTGACAGAGACGAAGTTCTTCTGGTCACTGATGAATTTGTTCTGACTGAGGAGTTAGGAATTCGCCAGTGCGAACTGCCTACACAGTGAGGAACATGATAGCCCCGAGGAATTTGAGAGTCAAATTTCCGACCGTTGTTGTGCTGCGCCAGCTGTCCCAAAATATTCTATCCACCTAACGGTCATATCATTGAAGGGCATTTATGTCTTATCATGTCGGGCTGCTCCCTAGGCTATAAATAGCCGCCCCCTACAACCACTAGCTGGTTGGCTGCTCCGAGAGAACTTGACACTTGTCATTTGAGAGCAACCCATCCTCCGAGGACTTTGAGCGAAAATCATCAAGTGAGGAAAACCCAAACCAAACCCCTACAAACCCAAAGTGATTGAGCATCACTGAAGAAATTGATCCTGCCTGGATCCGACGCTTGTTACCTTTGAAGACTGTGCTTCTTCCAGACGGTTAGGCGTCATGGTCTAGAGCATCCAAGAGGAATTGTGGATTGCCGAGTGACCAAGTCTGTGAAGGTTTGGAAGTCGCCTGAAGACTTACCACGAGTGATTGGACGAGGTCCGCGTGGCCTTAGTTCAAGGAGAATACGGTGAGGACTGGGTGTCCTGAGCTGCGTGCTTAGTGACTGGGTGTCCGGGACTGCGTGTCCTCGAGTTTAAATACTCAGCCGCTCCAACCAGACGTACAACTGAGACAACAGTTGGAACTGGTCTACCAAATCATTGTCTTCACCAACCTAACTGGTTCTATTTCCTCAACCCTTTCATTTCCTCATTACTGTGTTGAGTGTTTGTTCATATCTGTGTTTGAAGACTTTGACTGAAGACTTTCTCAATTTCCTCAGTTCAATTTCTTCAGTCTGTTTGTCTTCATCTTGTGTTATCCTGTGATTACGCTTTCTGTACTCTGTGCTTGTCTTCATTTCATCATGATGACCATGCTTGTATTCTGTTACGCTAACTTCCAAGTACTTATTCCGCTGCTAGTAGTTCTTCGCTAAGGAATTTCCTCACCGGCAAATTCCTCAGTGAAGAATTCATAAAAATCGCCTATTCACCCCCCCTCTAGTCGATATAGCGCACTTTCAATTGGTATCAGAGCAAGGTACTCCCTTGTTCTGTGTGATTTTGGTTTAACCGCCTGGAGTTTTAGTTATGTCGACCGCAGGTATGATCAAGGTCTCGGCTGGGTGTCCTACCTTTGATGGGACGGACTACCCCTACTGGAAGAACAAGATGCGAATGCATCTTGAGGCAATTGAAAACAATCTCTGGTATGTTGTGGAAAATGGTGTTCCCTCTGTCTCACCCTCACTGAATGCTACCGATGTGAAGAGATTCAAGCAACTCGATTCTCAAGCGAAGAATATCATATGTGGCCATCTAAGTAAAGGACAGTATGGAAGAGTGAGTGCTTTGGAAACTGCTAAGCTTATCTGGGATAGGCTGTCCAAAGTGAATGAAGGAGTCTCAACTCAGCGTGACTCTCGAGTTGATGTTCTTCGGAATCTCTTCAACCGCTTCAAAAGACTCGACAATGAAAATGTCCAACAAACCTTCGATCGCCTCACTGACATCTCAAATGAGCTTCAAGCCCTCGGTGCCACTGACATCACTGACCATGAAGTGGTGAAGAAACTGTTGAGATCGCTTCATTCCTCATTTGATACTCTGGGACTGATGATACAAGAACGGGCTGACTACAAGTCTCTTGATCCTGCCGATATCCTCGAAAGGCTAAATACTCACGAGTTCCAGCTTGCTGAAAAGAGAGATCTCTATGGTTCGAGCTATGGCAAACCACGTGCCCTGAAGGCCAAGGCTGTGTCTGACTCTGAATGTGAGGATTCTGGTAGTAGCCTTGGTGATCCTGAAGAATTGAGCCAGGAGCTAGCACTGCTCGTGAAGAAATTCCAGAAGTTCTCAAGACGTGGTCGCTTTGGAAAATCCTCAAGAAGCAGTGATTCCTCATCCAGTGACTATAAGAGAAGGTTGTGCCACAAATGCAAGAAACCTGGTCACTATATCCAAGATTGTCCTCAGTGGGAAAAGGAAATGAAGAAGAAGAAATACAAGGATTACAGTTCTGATGATGCGAAGAAGAAGAAGAAATCGTCAAAATCTTCGTCA